AGAAACAGGGGCTATTTTTTCCCAGAATGTACTCGAAGCATGTACTGCAGTGAGTGAGCCGCAGTTCTTATACAGCATCAGAATTGTTGAGGTATGGGCAGAAATTATGTTCTCATACAATATCATCATCTCATTCATTTGACAACTAATGCGGAATTTAAGGTTTGTACACATGTAATGAACAAAGAGAAACTATAAAGTATACATTGCAGAAAACCGTGGAGTGTTGCAAGAATGACCATTGTCAGTAGCTCTGCAATGTATGAGAAAAATTCAGTTATAAAAGGCTGTTTATGTTTTATTCATACAAAATAAACAGGCCCTGACATCAGAAAATACATAGAAATGAAAGTATCTGTGAAAAAATATATTCAGGTATTAAAAGTGTCTCAAAATATTTACTATAGAATACCATTAAGATCTGCAATTCTGAAACATGGAGAATACTTTACAGGGGGAAAAAGGATGTTTTGAAAATGAACTTTTTAAAAAATCCAAACAGACCAAATTCATACAGTGTGGTTTCTTGTGGGGTTGTTTTGTGTTTTTAAATGTATTTTTTTAGATCTTTACATTTAGTGCCACTTCTCAAAGCAGCACTATGACAAAGGCTAAAACACTAAAAGTGACCAGTATGTTCCTGGTCAAATATTGGGCTGGGTCTTTCTGTCCTGTGCCTGGAATAAGGTTGCCTCTGATTATGTACACCTAAATTGGAAATTCCTTGCAGAATTCCTATTTTTCTATAGGTCTTTGCTGGTTTGTTTTTGTTTGGGTAGTTTTGCCTGATTGTGACTTTAGCTACCCTTCAGTTATGAGACCGGGCACAAAGCACCACTGTAACCACTGTATAGCTCAGTCTAGTGCATCCTATGACTAGGAAAAACCAGGAGTATTGTAATTTTATTGGATCAAGGGCAAAATTGCTAAAAATTAGGATGTTCTTATTTTTATCAGATTAACTTGTACCTCTTTTCCAAAGTTTCTCAAGAAGAAAATCATGGTTTAGTGAATCAATGTTTGCTTTTGGGTGTCCTCACAAACTAGTGATAGAGAGAAATTTAGAAAAATCATGATCTTTACAACATGGCAGCGCAACTATTCCCTGGGCTAATTATGTTGAAGGAGGAACGTAATCCACACAGACAACTCCTAATAGTTCTGCAAAGCCTGCTTTTCCTTATATATAAACTCCCCAGCAATGTAATGATGAACCTAAAATAATTACAGGATTTCTTAAGTATCATTTCTCCCACCAGCAATAGATAAGTAGACACAGTTATAGCCTGGATTAGATGGGGATTATAGTTTTTACATTCTTTTTATTTGGTTTTGTTGGAGGTTTTGTTGGTGGTGGAGGGTGACTGTTTTTCTGGACTGGGAGATAGCCTGAAGATAAAAACGGGTTCTGTACCTAGCTCAGCATTCAGACAGCATGCAATCCATTTTTTAGCCTGGTAGGCAGTATGAAAACAAGGTTTATGCAATCACCCCTGTCTCTCTGTCTGTGTCCAAAGTCGCGATAACTTTGAAGGTGTTAACCAGCTTCAGCAGAGTTTGAGAGAGAATAATATTTATACAAATTTCATAAAAACAGATAACCAGGCAAAGCAGACACTAGGGATCAAACATTTTTAGCCAAAACAAAACTTCCTAGCCAGTCAGCAAATTTCAACAGATTTCCATTTCTAAAAGTGGCAGCCCACATGTTGCTGCTAAAATGCCCCAGAGGAGAAGATGCTAGGTATATGCAGCTGTAACAGAAAATACTATTATAATTCAGGTAAATAGTCAGCCAACCAAGAGGCAAATCCATATTAAACCAGGCTTCATTACCTTTGGTGTTCACAGAAGTAGCAGCTTTTATTTATGAAGGATGAAATAAATGTGGGCAGTCTGAAGTTTCTTCAGATAACCAATGTTAGTGGATTGCTACTCATTGTTGGGTGGAAATTAGAAGTAAATATAATTCTTCACTGATCCTTCTAAGGTCTATGTCTCTTGCAGGTGCTCACAGGGCCTGTGAGGCTCCACACTGGCACAGCTGGCTGCTACAGATTGCTAACTCTAGCCCTTTCAAGGACCTCACTCACTCATCACTCACCCAGCCATAAAATTCAACTTCAAGCCAGATTCATCACTTGGATTTCTTTACTGTTGTACTATCGGAAGTATAAACTGCACCTGGTTAGTGATCTATGAGGACTAGGAGCTCATATTACTTGCAGCTGCCCCATAACTCAGTCCAAAGGTGATGATCTCAGCTTCTCTCTCTCTGCTGTTTCTATTTCATAGGCTCCTACTAGCACTAGTATTGCATACCATCCCTCTGCTATGCATTTCTGAACCGATTTATGTCTGTGTCTGAGCATGCAATCCTCATCTAGACATAATCTATTCAGTTCATGAACCAGCAATATTGGATATTGTGCAGCCTATACCTCCTTACTGCAAAATACCCTTTCCATAATCACAGGAACCGTGTCTTGATGAATCCAAGCTCAGCAGCCCATTTCAGTAACACTTTTAAGCACCTCATCACACATTTAAGCACTTCTAATATGCTTCTAATGTGTACATCTTGTTACTACGTATTTTTCATGTTTTTCAAGCCTGCACAGTCAGTATGACATTTTATATTATTTTTTATTTTCAGTTTACGTTGCATTACTTTAGCTTATAACAAATAAATTCTATTTAAGGTAAGCTTGAGGATTTATGGATGAGCTTGAGGCCACGAATAGGTGAGACAGATCCTTCCAGTGTTTCAATTTCTCTTTCTAAAATGATACCTTTAACACATACTTCCTAAGTGAAATAACACAAAGAAAACAGATATCCAGAGATACATCCTCCTCCATCATGACAGCTAGAAAGAGGAAAAAAAAACAAACAACTCTGTGTCAAAGCTACAGAGGAAAAGCTACGGCAAGTAGTGGGAAGTCTTTAATAGGAAACACCTATTTTGATTATAGTAACACAGAACTATCTCTGAAGCTCATGGTGATTTCAATCGTTGCTTCTATCATGGCAAGGGAAACCCTCTCTGGTAACCTTGTAAAATCCTTATCTGCACAGGGCCTTATAGATTAGTTTGAAGGCTAGAAGTATTGGATAAAAACTGATGCATGATTCTAATTTAATCAAAATCTCTATGCTAGGAATATTTCAATTGAACAGATCTGCATTGAGAGAATTTGTCAGACTGAGTAACTTTGAGTTGCCAGAACTCAGTGTGAACTCACAAAGCTGTTCCAAAAATCTTTTTGCTAGAACCTTTTTGGGCATGTCCTCAGTTGTGTGCTGATCCAGGTCAATGTGCCTAGCTGCCATTATTTAAAACAATGTAAAAGGCAAAGACTTAGTGTTCTCCCTTTCTGTTTGGATTATCAGAAAGCTATGACAATTTTTTACACTGTGCTTTGTGCTCCTTTGATCAATATAAAGCTGAGCCAGAACCAAAAACAACAGCTAGTGAAACTAATAGCCAGGCCTGAGACTACAGAATTCACATCATGTGACATTTGATAATATTCTAAAGCAACATACAAATTCCACATAGGTCCTGAGCGTGCCAAGAATCTGTTCAAGGTATCTTACACACACCGTTTTATAGTTAGGATCCCACACAGTACCGTGGTCAATCTTGCTGCACTGAGAGCTTTGTATAGGCACCTTAGGAACCTTGCACAGTGAGGAGCTGAAGATTCATATGAAGGTCTACCAGAGGGAGAAGGCACATGCCAGCTTTTGCCGATACTGCCAGGAGCTTGCTCATGCCTGACTAGAGGAGTAAAGCAGCCAGTGAGCAACATGCAGGACTTGAACTGCATAATGAAGGCTAGGGACTATTGCTAGCCAAGACTTCTTAAACTCCCAGAAAACACCAAAAAGTTCCAAGGATAAAGGGAATAAATGTGCTGGTAAAGATATGTGCCTTTTTCTCAGATGCCTTTTTCCTCTGAGCATATGTTTTCATGGGGGAAGGTTATTTTCCATGCTGATCACTTGCTCGACCTGCAGCCAGGTGCTGGGCATGCTGCTGGCAGGGCTGTACTGCAGGTGATCTCACCTCTGCACCAGCTCTGGGTGGCTGCTGGAGGCAGCCTGTCTCCTCCCAGCCTCATGAGCAGCCTGGCACGCTGCCCCAGCCTCGTGATCGCTCCAAACTGCCGTAGGGATCTCACTTACTTCTGCTTTTCTCAAGCCCTGCCCCTGTGCTTGCCCTTTGATATGTAGAGTGAGCCACAGGGTTTCATTCCTGATTCATTTCTGCAGCTGGGATGAGGCTCTCAAACCAGGTAGTTTGCCCTGGTCCCCAGCCTCCTTCATCTGAGCTGTGTCCCCTCTGTGCAGTTCTCCACCCTTTGGTGCACCCACATCCTCACAAAGGAGCAGTCTCCTGTGTTGCCATCCTCTGAGCAGTGGTTTCCACAGACCGGAGGCAGGTACACGAAGAGCAACAATTCCAAGTCATACGCTTCCAGTGCACTTCATTTTGCCCTGGCAAATTGCTCAGCAGACATCTCACTTTCCTGTGCCCTGAATAACCACCAGCTGTACAAGCAGACTTATATAACTTGGCATAGAATCACAGAATCACAAAACCGTTTGGGTTGGAAGGGATGTTAAAGATCATTTAGTTCCACCCAACCTGCCATGGGCAGGGACACCTTCCACTAGCCCAGGTTGCTCAAAGCTCCGTCCAACATGGCCTTGAGCATTGCCAGGGATGGGGCAGCCACAGCATTTCTGGGCAGACTGTTCCACTGCCTCACTACCCTCATAATAAGAAATTTCTTCCAAACATCTAATCTGAACCTATCCTTTGTCAGTTTAAAGCCATTCCCCTTTGTCCTGTCACTATGTGCCCTTGTAAAAAAACCCTCTCCAGATTTCTTGTAGGCCGCCTTTAGGAGGGGATGAAATATAAAACTCAAGAGTTATAAAACAGGATTTTAGTGGTACTGTGCCTCACTTCCTACACCTTCTTTACTGACCTGCCACAGCTTTCCTCGAGCAGCTAGTTTCCCCGGCAGCAGTGTGACGAGTTACATCCTCCTGAGCTATCAAACAGGGAACAGAACGTAACTCATGGTGGTTAGGCGGTACCACGAACAAACTCAGTTGCGGAAAGAAAACCCCGCTTCTTCCCCTGTAACTACCGCAACGCGGAGCTGATGTGCAGCGGCGGGAGAGCTCGTACCAGCGGGCAGCGGAGAGAAAAGCTGCGGACAGCGGAACTTAGTGAATGAACCCGCTGCGTGCCCCCCGCCCTTAGCTGCGGGGAGGAGCTGCGCCGCCACCTGATTTCCCCTCCCTTACCCCCTGGGGCCGGGGAGCACCCCAAACCCCTCACCCTGGGCACGGCCTCCCGCCCGCACACTGCTTCTGTGCCATACCCGCTTCAGCACAGCGGGCGCGGCGCAAGCAAGCGCGACAGGGGAACAGCGACAACCCCCTACCGCGTACAGCGGGACCCAACCCCGCCCGCTGCCGGCAGCGGCGGGACGCGGCTGCCGCGGGACCGCCTCCTGTCCTGCGCCTGCGCACCCCGCGGATCCGGGCCTTTAACATCAAGGCTGCGGTGTCATACCGGAGGCTTTTGGGCTCGGCGTTTCCCGGTGCTCGGCTGGCCGCCAGCACCTGCGCTGCAGGTGGGGAAGGTGGCGGCGGCGGCGGGTGGGGGGCCTGGGCTGAGAGCCGGGTCGAGTGCGGCCTGTGGCTGTAAAGCCCTAGCGGAGCCGGGAGCCGGGTGAGGGCCGCTGTCGCGGAGGTCTGTGGGCTTCAGCGGGGCCTGATCGTGCTCGCGGGAGGCTGCCTTCATTTCTCTGCCCCGATACCGCCACCCGCCTGCCGGAGCATGGCCCGTCCGGGGCACCGGTAGCGGCGCCGAGCTTGCCGGGCCTTGTTCCACACCCGCCGGTGAAAACTTTGCCGTATTTGCGAAAGCGGCCGTCGCTTCGGCTGGACATGCGATGGAGCCTGTACATCTCCGGGGGTTGCTGACTCCTGTATTCTTGGCAGCGCCAGCCTTACCGAGCAGGCCGGGGACCGGTGCCTGAACGGGTCTTGAATGGCAGCGCTGGACGTGCCTTCCCCCCCCCCCCCCCGAGCAAGTTTGTGGCTGCTAAGTCATTGCCTTACCCTGCTGCGTCCTTTGTATTGGAGGAGCTGGTGAGGTTCGTGATTGAGACGCAGCTGGTGGGGAGAAGATGGTTGCAGTTTGCGACTCTGGTGACAGCATAGAAGTTGTCACGTACAAAGCAGATATATTAGAGCTCCTACTGTTCAGTACGTAAGTGCTGGATAAAAGAGCAAAGCGTTCTTGAGATTTGGTAAACTGTAGTAAGGTTTAGTGCTTGATTGGGAGGGGAAGCATGTTGGAGGAACACCTTTCACTTGAAGGTGGCTAAATAGTTCTATTTGTGAATTGAGATGTTTCTCCTAAGTTTCTGGCAGTAGAACAGCACTATTCTAATTACTGAAGGTCAGGTACAGTTGATATTGGAGGCTATACTTGTATTAGTATTTTAAATCAAATAAAGGCTGTACTCTTGAAATGAGTTCCTAGTCATCCTTGCTTACTGCATTTTCGTTGACATCCCAGTGTGATCTGGGAGAGTGCAAGCTCTTACTCTTTTGGAAGAGCCTAAAACTAGAAGGTGCACTTCAATTATGAGTGGGTGTTGTCAGTTATAGACAAGGGTATAGACAAGAGCTAGTATGAAATACAGTGTGGATGTTGAATCCTCAGTATTCGTAGAATCATAGAATGGTTAGGGTTGGACAGGACCTTAAGATCAGCTAGTTCCAACCCCCTTGCTATGGGCAGGGGACACCTCCCACTAGACCATGTTGCCCAAGGCCATGTCCAGCCTGGCCTTGAACACTGTCAGGGATGGAGCATTTACCTCTTCTTTGGGCAGCCTGTGCCAGTGCCTCACTACTCACAGTAAAGAACTTATTTCTACAGAGTTGCTGCTTGTTCTGTATATAGTTGTTAATGTAGGCAGAGCCTGAGCATATCAGTAGAGCAGGTAAGGTGAATACAGTTGTAGCTCAACAGGACTGGGGATTGATCGCTAAGCTTTCAGAGATATAACTGTGACAGCTATTGCCTAAGCTGCAAGACTCAAAGTTTCATAGCTTAAAGGCTGTAGGTCAGCTACAAGGAGAACAGTAAGCAAAAACCCCATGTGGAATAATTGTCAATGCTGTCAACAGCCTTTCAGAAAATGTTTTTCAGTAGCTCAATAACTATAGTTTTCAGTTCAACCATTTCTATTACTGAATGGCTCCTGAACTTAAGATGTTTAAAAAGTGCTGTAGAGGCATAAGGACAAATAGTTTTTCTTCTTGTAAGGGTTTCATAACTTATATTAAGAAAATAATGCTGCATGCTTGCTGGAACAGTAACTGTGACTTGTTGGCATTTTTTCCTTACTTTTCCTGTCTTAGATTCACCTAGCCTTTGTGGCAATATAATGAATTATTGTACTTGTGTTACCGTCACTGTACTTGAGATCTTTCTGTTCTATCTTGAGTGGTTGGTTTAAAATATTCTGACTTGTTTTGCTCTTTTGGCCTTCCACTTAGGGCTTCCTTTCTTGATGAACCAGCATGATAATTGCTAGCAGCTGCTCTAAAAATGCCAGTTACAATGAAAAAAAAAAAAAAGTTTTGCATACTCTTTTTAAATCATCCTATTCTCCAAGACGTGGGTGAATGGAGCGGCTGGGTGTTAAGTTAAAATGGGTTCTGGGGATAAACAGGAGACCTGATTGCTGCTGCTTTATTTTTATCAACTTTGAATTTATTTTCCACCTGTTGCAATTTAGAAAAATTAGAAGGGTTTCTACTTGCATCACTTGATTACAGCCTTTAGTTTCATGTGTTCTGTGTTTTAAGGTAGCTTCAATGTCATGGCTGAAAAACTACAGTAAGGAGAATACTTGAAAATTTATGTAGGTAGCAAAAATGCTTTTGTGGTTAATACTGTTTTGGTTTTTTTTGTTGTTTGTTTTTTTTTTTTTAAGAAGTCTTTAGAATGGCAGCACATTGCCAGCAGCTGTGTTAAAATAATTCCCATTTTTCCCTTGACTGTCCTGTATCAGTCCTCATTTAGGTTAAAGGGAGTCATCACTTCAAACACCTGAAGAGCTGTATTTCTAGCTTGGAAACTAGTAGCTGATCCCATGTTCTGAAGACGAGTCCAGCTTGAAAAGCTCATTTGACTTGGGTAGTGTGTGTAGAATCCACTGAAAATTGCAAACTTGCTTTTTACAGCTGTGTCTTGAAATCTTTTTTTTTTTTTTTTTTTTATACAAAGATTGTGTATTGTGAAAGTCTGTACAATAACAATCCTTTGAAAAGCACAGCTAGACTGTTGCAACCTTTGCCACCATTGTACTGTTCTAACTTAAATGCCTCTTGTTGACCTCTCTCCAACCTGTACATATTGAAGTATCTGAGCAAATCTCCCAGTTAGTTAAGGTTCTTGCAACTTGGGGTTGACTCCAGCTTGACAGGGCCTTAGCAATTTGCATGTCTTAAGGAGTCTGAACAGAGGGCAACAGGAGTCTTGTCGAAGTGGTGGCCATTGACTGACAGTTACCTAATGCAGAGGAATAAGTGCAAGCCAAGTTTGTTCTTCCTGAAAACTTTCTTCTGGCTTTTATTTTAGATATGGGAAAATCACTTTCTCACTTGCCTATGCACACATGCAAGGAAGATAGCTGCAATGGAACCGCAGTGTCTGATAGTATGAGGAATGGATTAGTTAACTCAGAATCACACAATGAAGACAGCAGATGTGGAGATGTGTCGCAGTTTCCCTATGTGGAATTTACAGGAAGAGACAGTGTTACTTGCCCAACTTGCCAGGGAACAGGAAGAATTCCACGAGGTGAGTTTTCTTTATTTCTTTTTGTAACCTATACATTACTTCATAACCATGTGCTGTTGAAACTGTAATAATCCACAACAAATTACTCTCCTACTTAAAATGATGTTTTTCATCTTTTTGCCTTTGTAGCTCTTAAGCATTTTGTTATGATTACACTAAATGAACAAAAGAAATTGAATCAGCTTTGGCTGTTACTTGTTGGGTTTTCCTTTGTCTGTACAATGCTGGTGTGTTCTTTGCTTCTCAGCTTTTAATTTGCATGTAACCCTAGCTCTTGCAAGTTGAATTTGCAAACCTTGATTTTTGTGACATTTTATTACATCTTTTTTTTAACTGCCTATTTTAAGCTATTTGAATCAATTTATAATTCTGCAAAAATAGCTGCAAATGCAGAGAGTTAAAAGAAGGCCTGTGTTACAACACCATTTCCCTCATTTATAGTGAATTTTCTTGCCCTCACTGCTGCCAGGGCCCGTCAATTTCCTTTACTCACTTGATCCTGTCTGTCCCTGCTAGGCAAAGGACCCCAGCTGGGTGTTGAAAATACAAAGGATCTCTGGTGGCCCTGGGAGGTAGTAGGTTGCACAGTATTAGTCTTCATGCCTATTTTGTTTCCCAGCTGCCCTCATCCTTTGCTTTTCCTGTTAATAAAATATGTTCTGCTTTATTTGTGCTTCTCTTCTATACAGTAAGCCACCAGAACAGCTATTTAGGAAGACACCATTGAAAGCAGGATAGCTGAGCTGGGCAAAAGGAGAGTGGCAAATGTAGTGTGGTGAGGCACTCTACATGTGCCAGCCTGCTTCAGCTGTAAGATCTTCCCTTTGATGGCAAGAAAGAACTGATGAGAAGTTTTCATGCTTGGAGCTGCTTTGCTTTTGGCAGAACTCTTACCTGAAATAGATTATTCAGTGTAAAAGCTCTCAGAACTGATTTTTGACCAGTAGCTTGGGAAAATTGACTGTGCCATGTTGTCCTTGTACATGTGCTTCAGTCAGGTCAGATTCTGGTATAGTTCACAAATACTTCTGTCTTGCATGTGAATAAGTGACAGCAAGCACATGATATTTAAACAGTTGTAAATACCATAAGGGGCTTGTAGTTTAGCTGTTAAACTTCATACTATCATGCATTCATTCTTTGAGTACCTCTGAATTTGGCAAATTTGAAATGTGAAAAAACTA